GCCGAGAAAATGAATAATTAAGGAATATTATTATGGCATTTTTGAATTGGCGGGAAAATCTTTGTATCCTTCTCGCATTATATTGCGTTCCTTGTCTGTGACGTCACGCTGTTGAGTATACCTCCTTGCATATTCTGCTATGCTAGTAACAAGTCGGAGCTTCCATGATCCAAACGCGAGATGGCGTTGATCGTCGAAATTTTTTTCATTCCTTGTACCTTATGGATATCCCAGGATCAAAGAATTTAATACAGTGGATAAAATATAATTTAAATATTATTTGTAAAGAGTACGTTAAATGGAATAATAAAGAAAAAATATTTTTGAAGAAATAGATTTATTTCAAAAATATATATATATTATACATGTGTAAGTAAATGTTTATTTAAATGTATATTATATATAAATATTGTTTCTTAATTTATAGATGTATAATTAAGATTAGTTTTATATTACAAATAAATCATATACATTTTTACAATAAATTTTACAATATTTATTTATTATTATCGTATTTCAGATTGTGGATAATTAAAAATATTATGTTATACATGTTATTATGTATATACATAAGATACTAAGTATGATGAATTGATCATGTTTAACTGGTAAAATTATGAACAAAACATAAATAAAAATCGAAAAGTTGCTTTTTATATTTTATGTATTATAATTTTTAAGTTTTTCATGTTTATGTATGTATAATCTAATTTTAATTGCTAAATGAATTTGAAAATTTTAAGAAGAAATAACTACATTATTTTATTCTATATCATTTATTCTAATTTTATAAACATTTATAGGTATTAACAAATATTTGTATTTATATTATATTTAACATAATAAGAAATGATAAAATTATAAAATTATAAAAAAATAATTTTGCGCCTTTTACGTTCTTGTTAAATTTATGATTTTTAATCATATTTCAGCGCCGATAAATGAACGTGACGAACATTCGGTTGAAAAAATTATATAGGTATTGTATTATAAAGACAAGAAAATAAGTATGAAAACGGTAAGAAAAATAATTGCATTTCATTTCGGAATCACAACGAATAAAGTGCTTTAACAGTATTTGTAAAATGTATTTAGCTGATAATGATTTAGATATCAAATGATAATAAGAAGGTTTCTTCAGAACGGTAAAAAATATGCAAATATTACATACATATACATTTTTATATACTTCATATATTTTATTACATTTTTATTTCTTATCAGATAAAATTTTTTACAAATCAATAGAAAGAATTGCTTTAAATATACTGGAATTATATTTATTTCAATCACAAAAATTGATAAATAAAAGATCAGTAGATTTTAAAAATAATTCCTTTGATATATCTTTTTATAAATATTGCATTATATGTATTTGTATTGTATTCATAAATAATTACTATTAATAATAGATAGATTCAAATATAAATTGAATTCATGAATTAAAATTGTATTTTTGTATTACAAGCCAATAAACACAGTATAAATATATATAAATTTGAATTTTTTTTAATTCTTCTGGAAATATTTAATTCTTCTTTGAAATACAAAATGTGATCTTCTATTCTTATATTCTTATTATTCTTCTATTCTTCTTTTATTCAATCAACTTTCCTTAACATTTCAGAGATGACGTTAATTTCTTTATGTTTCTTTCACTATTTTCTTTTCTTATTCTGCGAAATGTACGCGCTCTGATATCCGTTATATCATCTTCTTTGTATAATTTATTGATAAATAATCTTAAAAATTTTAAATCGTCCATACTTTCTTATCTGTTTTATATAAATATTGAAGTTTAAAATTTTATAAAAAACTGATATTGTTTTCATTGCACTATAACAAAAAAAATATGAGCATATTTTTCATCCATAAATGATTCAACTCATACATAAGTCTGTCTAATAGTTAAATCTCTGAATACAATCCATTATTACATATAATGCATAAAAATATTTACGAGAGAATGTATATATATCTATAAAGATTTTTAAACGACTATTTTATTCACTTTATCAACTTTTGTGATTGGATTAAATATAATTTCTGTATTTTAATACTCGGAATCGGATACTTTTGGACATGGAGCACAAAATCTTATTATATGTTAGGTCTATTTTGTACACGAAAATTTAGACATTATTTCGCTTTTCTATCAATTTCATTTTCATTATCCTATATCGATTTTCTTGTCCCTTTTCAATCGCACGCTTTTACAGTTACTTTACGTATATTTTTTTTTTTTTTTTTTTTTTTTTATTATTTTCCCTTTTTACCGGTCCGCTACCTCTCTCCACGGTATTGTTGCTTCCCCTCAGAAACGACGAAAAATCGACGGAACCACTAATTGGTTCTGTCAATCCTATAGAGGGGACTCACACATTGATGGGCTATGTCGGCTTGAAAAGGAAAGGATGGAAGAACGTTGAAACGACGAAGCATGGGTCACGTCGACCGGAAAGATCCGTTACGGGAATACAACGTTCCGGGAGAACAACTTTCATTACAGTTGCATGCTTT